TTCACCTGCACAGCCTTCACCTCCACCTTTATATTATTATCATCATCAGGCGTTTTCCTGAGTGACATAACACAAAGAGAATGAGCACATGTCACATCGTACAACAAAAGCATCTTTTCAAACCTTAAATTACAACCCCAACTGCTTTAATGATCTAATATAACAATGAGAAATAATATTTGTTCATGTGATCACAGATGAGATGTTTCATAGATTCTTTCTGTACTGCAAATGTGTGGAGGAGGTACGTAATCTATAATCAAAACAGTCATCTTTCTGTTGTATCTCTTGCACTAACCACTGATGATGTCTCTTCCTGAAAACCTTTAAGCCCTCGGGAAGTCCCCTAACCCCATTAGGGCACCTAAGCACTAACACACCCTACGCACTCTTCAATCAACTTTCTGTCTGGGAAGATAAAAATGTTGGCCAGAGTCAAAACCAACATTTGAATACAATATTTCCACAGACAGAACACAAACGTCTCGGCTCAGTTGGTTTCTATGTTGACAAGTGTCTGTAGAAACGGCTCCATTAGTGAGTCAGCGCTGACATTTGCTATGATCTCAGTATGAAAAACAAAAAAAAAAAACATAGAGGGAAATTTGTGAAATGTCCGTGTCAGTGATGTAAACTTAAGCGATCTTTGAGTTCTCCCTGAGTGGGTTGTGTGAGAAATGACAATGCCAGGAGTCACATTAGCCTGCAAATCAACTGTTTTTATTCACCGCTGTATTTGGGTTTATAATTTTGTATTATGTTATTTGAATATATATTTGTTGGCGGCTGACTCTGAGCCAAATCTCTGAGCTCCTCTGGGACATTAAAGGTTTACTCTACTCTCTTTTCTACATCTGTGAGACCACCTTCGAGGGTGTAACCTGCTGCCGACCAACAGGTTTAAACTTACTTCTTGAAGTCTGCATTCGTAAACACCAGTTCACCAGATCATGTAGTGACACACACAGCGCTGAGGTTAAATAAAAAAAACACAAAAAAGGGAACAATACTGAAAGTGGTGATCTCACCTTATCTCATCATCTCCTTCAGGGCCACAAGTGCCGACCACAGTTGTTTCGCCTGCGGCCGTCGTGGCCCTCGAGTCATTTTTCAGCAGAACACTTCTCTCCTCCGCGTTGCCACAGGGACTTTCAGCGTGACAGCAGCTGCTCCCCATCTGTTCCCAAACGCTCCGTCTGCTCGGGAGGTCAGACAGGACGTAGGCTGAACGGTGACCTCTGGTCCAAAACCACCCCGCAAGCGACCCGAGGAGTCGCTGAAGCCTGGAGACTTCAGGAGTCCATGATGACGAAGGTGGAGCTGCTGCTAAAGCCAGGAAGGAACCAGTGTTTGTGTCTTGAATGAGACAGAGGTGATACTTGAAAAGCATGATGTGCAACATTACTGAAGGAACAACACTCCTCCCTGTGCGATATAACAGCTGAAGTTTAGTGAATGCAAATATTTAAATCACTAGAGGATTTAACTCCAGGGAAAAACACCAATATGTGGAACAAATACTGTCAAATGAGTTGTACAGACACTAAATGTTGTGCTATCACAGGTGTTAAAGTTTATAGCTCTCTAAATTGTTATATGGTCACAATATTGAATTAACAGCTAACACACATGTTGGTCTAAACACTGATAAGACATAATATTCAGTAACGCACACTGAAATTAATTAAATGAGAATATAGCGCATGTGTTGAGAGATTACCTCAAATAACAGCTACACCCCCCGTTAATGTAAACACAAGGAAGTATCGATAATGAAAGCATCTGTTCACCTTCACCTGCCACTACACCGATTATCGATCACATAAATGAACAAACAAATAAAAAAATAAACACACCTTTTAACTGAAGCTCCGGTTTCTGGTTTCACTTTTGACCTGCAAACACAAGCAGAAGTGAGCTAGCCAGTTAGCTCCCAGGCGCAAACTTAAAACATAAACAACCGACACCAAACTACCGACGCATGAGAATCCGCGCAGCCGCACTAGAGACCTCCCGCAAACTCCGCAGCGCCGTCGTTTGCTGCCGCGCGCTCAACCGGCGGCGGGTTGTTGTTATTGTGCGGTGTTTTGTGCGGTACCATCTGCCGGTGCGACACCCCCTAGCATAGCCGGAGCAGCGGGTCACGGCACGGCACGGCACGGTCCGAGCGCCTGACGTCACACCCGCGGAGTTTTTTTTTTTTTTTTTTTTTTTTTTGCTGCGTTCAGCGGCTCGGAAATCCGCGTTTATTGCTAGACGTCGTGTAAATGTTGTAGTTGGGCTGGTGTTGTTGTATCTTGGTGGATTTGATGGGTTAGTGAAATCAATGAATGAAAAAAAAAAAATGAAAAAGTCAGCTGATAACAAAAAAAATGTTTTGGTTATTGATTATGTAAGACAAAAACAGCAGAATGTAATGTGATTATTTACTTTTCTCTGACAAAAAACCAGGAATGTGTTTACTCTTTTGAGTGACTTGTAATTACATATTTTGATTCATCTTTGTAGGACTAAATTGTTATTTTATTTCAGTTAATTAAAAAAAAAGGCATTAACAGATGAGCTGATAATGGGATTAGTCAGTTTCAACCTTACAAAATGTAAATGTGGTTCATTTCTGGCTAGAAAAGTTACAGAAACGTAAGCAGGGGAGGATTTTTTTGCCCCGTTACGTCAATGAAACTTAACATTTCACTTGGTAAGTAAACAATACTCATCATAGTTTAGGTACAGTGTAGTAATAAAGTAATGTTTTCATTATTATTAAGTGATAATATTAATCATTTGATATTGAGGGACCTATTAGAGAGGGGAGAAAGTTGTCCACAGTCTCAAGTAACGAAGGAAACAAATCAATTGATTCTTAAAACTCTCAGTGGGAGGTAAATACTCTACGCTCTGCTAAACTGTTTAAGGATCATGGTAATAATTGATTGATTTATTAATATGATATAATATTGATTCTCAGTGTGATGGTAGGTTTTTTTTTTTAATTGTTGCCATTTATGCTCAAGTCAGTTTCAGGAATCCCCCGATCCACTTCTCTCTCTCGTTACGTCGGTAAAAACCCATAACTGTGTAATTTCACATCCAACCAAAAAGAAACAAAACATTTCTGAGACATTAGAACAAAATAATTCTTCATTACAAAATATATATGTGGCCAATAATAATAAATAAGGGATAATATAAATGTTTTCATTTAGAGGGCAAGAAAATAGATCCATTTTTATTTTCAAATATTCTTCAACCATTTGATACAAATTCAGGATGCAAAATTAAATATTATACACTATTTACATCAAATATACTTCATAACCGTGTGTAAGGAGTTTACACTAAAACCAGTTTGTTTCACAGTTGGTGTGCGTGTCCTCCTATTGTCCCAAAACCGCTGTGATTCTGTTCCCTGATGTTCAACCACTACATGTTCTTCAGCTCCTGTATATGACTGATGAGCTCCTGCGGGAGTTCGAGCTCCGACACGAGACCCACGCAGCGCTGCAGGAGGTAGTTTAGACTTTCGCTTAAGCCGTAGGAGCAGTCAGTGGACCCAGAACAGGGCTTTTGCTGCTGCTGAGAACTGTCCAGGTCCATTTTGTCTCCTCCCCTGCAGCAGTCTGTTTCTCTACATCCCTCCCCACAGCAGCCTGAATCCGCCTGCTTCACCTCCAGGTCCTCGATGCTCTCGGAGACGGAGCTCACGCTGGGAGGAGGATTCTCCAACGTCTTCCTGATGGCGTCCAGGACTGCGTCTTCGTGCTGTGAAACCCGCTGCAGGAGGTCGGTCACAGAGGCCGGGACTGCGCTTTCCGGATGTTGAATCTGGCACCAGCACCATACAGCGCTGTGAGGTGACAAACAAAGAGGCAACAGTGTCAGACACAATGGCCCAGAGAGATAAAAGACTGGGACAGAAAGAGTCTTTAATAATAACCAGAACAAAAGAGGCTCAGGATGTTTCTGTGCAAGAAAGAGGCAGAAATATTACACATAGGGGTGTTTTTTTTTTTTTTTT